AAGAATACTAACATTACTGGGTTGTTTCAAAGTGGCACTGTACAAAATGGGAAAAGAAACAAGAGAATTCAAGGATCAGACTCTCAGTTCAAGTGTTGAGTGTTTTGAAAGCCTTTTCTCTTCCTTTATAGAGACCTCCTCTTCTGTTTATGTGGGGGTTTCTGAAAATCAAATGCATAACACCATCCTGTGAGTGGCTGAAGTGCAGTGTAAGCTGAACTCTTATCTTGCCATGAGAGTGTGAACAACTAAAAAGTAGTAGGACTCGGAGAATGTTAATGGAAGCATTGATGAAACTGGGGGCATTGGGCTTTTTACCTGTGATATGTGCTATTTGCTGGCAGATGAAGTCTCCCTTACTTTAGTACAAGTGGCATCTCCCTCAACCTCTAAATGTACTGACCCAGGGTTGCTTAAAGACACTACAATCGCCTTCTTTGAGGCAGTACCATTAAAGTCCATGTTGCTTCTCCCCGGAAGCCACCCTTTGCCACTACTTTTTTTCCCCTAGACCAATAACTATCTAGATTTTTATTATCTACTCAGTCACAAATCCAGGAAACATGTTTGTAGACAGACAGCATGGCCATGGGATAACCAGAAAGAAGATAAATTTAGGCACATCACCAAATTCATCAATCTGAGGTCCTTGAACAAATATCTTGCATTTAGTGTTGTGTCTGAGAGATGGGGAGGGGTCTTCACTAGTTGGCTGCTTGACTTAAACATGGACCAAACATTATCCACTTTTATTATATTGTAAATGCTAGGTCTTGTTGGACCTGGGCTGGGTTCCTTCTTCTCTGCCTGTTCTGGGGAAACTCCAGGTTCCTCTAAGGAGTGTCACATAAACCTCAGGGAGATTATAGGCCTAACCCTTTCCTTATAAGAAACCCTTTCAGTGCTCCGGGGATTCCTGGAAATACCCTCCCCCACGCCAGTACCTTAGCTTTTAGCCAATGACCTTTTAAAATACCTCTAACCGTACCTGGAGTTCATTTCCTAGCCCCGCTGCCCATAGAATAATTAAGAACTGCTTTCCTTTCGTTTGATTGGACTGTGCTGGTGCATGGCACTCCTAGCCACAGTGAATTAAACATACTCACTGAAGCCCCTCCCACTGCCCAAGGTTTAGAATGTCCATGATTCACAAAATAAACTCTCAGCTCCCCCAAAAAACTCACTGCTGGGCAGCCCCCGCCATGCCACTTACACACACTTGACTTCAGGTCAGACAGCCACTCTTGGATCGCTGCCACCATCTTTCTTGCACAGCTCTGCCCACCACGGTGCCCAGTGCCCATCTTCGAAGGCGAGCGGGCAGCTGCTCTTGAAGTAGCCATTCTACTCACCTGACCAAACTGGGCTCCCGCCACTGCTGTTCTAGAAGCAGCCACCAAGTCACGCGAGTCTGGTTGGGCCACCATTGCCTCCTAGAATAGGTTTCAGAGCCCTGAGCTCCTCGCTGCCAACTGGCCTGGTGCTAGCAGCCCAGCTAAAAGAGCAGTAACAGTTATTTCAGAGAAATCTTTTCTCTTGTACCTCTGGCCTTGCATCTGCTGGCACAGATTTCGGTTTTCTGTTCCACCCTTCTCATCCAGGACGCTGGCGTTTCTGCAGGAAGAAGCGCACACTTCCGGCTGGGTTTGCATCCGTCCGGGTCTCCTGGGAAATAAGGAATGATAGTCTCCTAGGCTTAACATAAAAGAAGGTATTCAAAGGTTTAAGGAGATTGAAATGTTGAATGGTTTGTCATTTAAGCCCCACTTGCCTGGGAAGGTCCCAAAGAAGTACCTTCTATCATCACTGGGACAGGAGCATGCCCGAGAGCTCGGTGGTTGCTGCTTTTTCGTAGGCCCGTGGGAACCACAGCTACTTGGACAAACCTAAACGCAACGAGAGTAGCTGGATTCCAGAATAGCATAAGCCAAGCGGTGACGCTCAGCCACAAGGTGAACATTGTGACAAAATTGAAGTACACCGTAATCGAGGTAACAAATGGGTTGTCTGGAATAATGGAGGTAACAAATAGGTTGTCTGGAATAGAGTGCGCCCCTCAGGCATCTCTCACTATTTCCATTCCCTGTGACTAAAGTGCATGGAAAACTACAGTCCAATTCAGACAGCGTTGCTGCTGCTGCTCTGTTTCATCAGGAACTTGCTTGTGTGTGTAGGAAAAAAAAAAAAAAAACAAACTCTTGCCAGTGTTCTCATAAAACATGAGATTAAACATTGCAGTGTTGAAGTTACGGGTGTCACTAAAATGATTACTTTTTTAAGAGTGTGTCTGGCACATATACTTGCTTTTTTCATTCTAGTCACTTCCTCATACAACATGAGATGTAGTTACATCATGGTATTTAAGTTGTGGAGTGTTGAGGAAAAAACAAACAAACAAACAAACAAACAAAAACAAAAACAAAAAAACTACCCTACAGCAAATTCTGTCTGGGAAGGGACTGGTATGCTTATAGTAGCGACACAATAGTCCTGCCACATCAGACAGAAATCTTGCCTTTATTTGGAAATTACACTTGGTTTAAGATGTGTTGAGGTGCCAGGTTGACAGAGATGGACTTTGTGTCTAATTTCTGAATCAGCCTGATTAGACAACATGGTGCCCAGCCACACGATCAGATATTATTCTGAGAGTGTCTGTGAGGATCATTAGATGAAATTAACATTTCAGTAGGTTGCGTGCAGTAGATGGACCTTCAAGGGGGTGGGTCTTAACCCATCAATCAAATTATAACTAGAAAAAATGTTTTCTGTCTAAAAGAATTCCTCTTGTTTGACAGTCTTTAGGCTAAGACATCAGCTTTATACTGCTATACCAGAGGTGGATAGAAACATCAGCTCTTCTGGGTTTTCTCCTTCTTCTGACTCTGCTCCTCCTGCTCCTTCTGTTCCTCCTGCTCCTTGTGCTCCTCCTGTTCCTCCATTTGCTCCTCCTGTCCTCCTCCCCCTGCTTCTCCTCCTCCTGTTCTTCCTTCTGTTCCTCCTCCCTGTTCTACCTTCTCCTCCTTTTCCTATCCTCTTGCTTGTCTTCTGGTTACCCTCCCCCAACCCTACACCATTTTTTTTTTTTTTTTTTTTTTTTTGAGACTGGGACCTATTCTGTAGTTCAGACTGTTCTGGAACTCACAGTCATTTTTCTGTTCCATTATCTTAAATACTAAGATTACAGGATTGAGCTACTAACATCTCCCTGGGACTTGTGTTGTCCTTGGACCCAGAACTTTACCATTGGCTTCCTTGTGTCTCTCACTTGCTACCCCGCCTAAATCTGAGGATTTCCCCATCCCATAAATATATGAGCCATTTCTCCAACCTGTCACTCACTCTCTGTGTTTCTCTGAGAAGCCCAACAGTATCTTTCATGGAATCTCTCAGTAGAACATAGCGTGTACCCCTGGCATAACACCGGTGCAGGAACATAGAAACTGGTTTCTGTGAAAGTAAGATTTTTCTTATATTAAACTAAAACAAAGAAATAAGCAAGCAAGCAAGCAAGCAAACACGACGGCCATCTGTAAGGCACAGAAATCTAAATGCTGTCTGTAAAGAGAACCACAGCCACAATGCTTGAATAACCCTGCAGACCACTGAGGAGGCCAGGCTGAGGAAAGATGCCCTGAGGGGGTGAGGAGATTTCACTTAACATGCACTGGGCTCCACTGTGCCAGGTAAAGGCTTTTAGTCTCCCTCTGCCACTTATATAATAGATATTAATATGAAATTAATGTTTTTAAATGACCCCTGTGTCCTTGTTTCCTGTTGCAAAAGCTTTTTATAGAACATCCAGAGCTTGTGAAAATTGCTTTATGAAACGGAAGACCACAGACCACGTTGCCTGATGTCCCAGCAACAACCAGGGGCCACAGGAAGTGAAGAGGGCTGGCCCCTGAGACAATGGAGCAATCAATGGCTCTCAGACAGCTGGCTAAACAAGCACAAGTGGGTCAACAAAACATTTACAGTATGAGCATGAAGACCCAGAGTTCAAGTTCACAAAACCATATACAAAGTTATACATTGTGGCACAAACAATTGTGTAATTCCAGCACTGGGGAGGCAGTGACAGGTGACTCCTTGAGACTTATCCATCATAAAGCATGAGCTGTAGGCAAACAGAAAGCCCTGTCTCAAGAATAAGGTGGATGGCATTCCTGAGAAAGGACATTCATGGTTGACGCTGGCCTCAAAAGAGCCCCAACCCCCCCTGAGAGAAAGAGAGAGAGACAGACAGAGAAAGAGACAGACAGACAGACAGACACACACACACACACACACACACAGGGGGACAGAGAGAGACACACAGAGAAAGGCAGAGAGAATACAGGGTGCAGGGGTTATACGGAGCTCAGGAGTAACCCTAGGCTTGCTGTATCCTTCCATGCTTATACTTATCTCCTGTGAGCAGCTTGTTATTTGCTCTGAAAATCATCCTAGTCCTCCTGGTAGATAGAGGTTGAGGACAGAGTGCTCAATAGGAGTTCGGTAGCAAAATGAGAATCAACCTCTGCCCACACTTTTTCTTTCCCAAATGTCTGTTGTGGGGCTACAAAAATATAAATATCTTGATAAACTAATGTGATACATGACAGTTTTGGAAAGTGGAGAAAAACAGAGTTCAAGCACTTACATCAGGGAGGTCAGTGGAAAACGTGGCCCTTGTCTCTCCTGCACGTGCCCTTGTGTGTGGTCGGGGAAACGATGGGCATGCTCCTTGTTTATGTTCAGGAAGGGCCCCTAGGGCAGCTCCTTAGAGCCCAACCCTCCCCAACACAACACAACTAGTGAAAAGATAAGATTTCTCAACAGAGGCAGAACACCAGGGGACATTTGATGCCTGCAGTATTCAAGTCACCAATAGTCTCTCTTGCATCACTGACTTTTGTTAGAATTGGCTAATAGGCCACATGCCTCTGCTGAAGCCCGGCAGATATAAGCAGCGACCCTGCAAGCTGACTTCCTGAACTGAGCAGGGAGCAGCCGGCATGGGGCATGCCTGGCGCCAGTTCCAAGCTCTGCTATGGAAGAACTGGCTTTGCAGACTCCGGCACCCAGTAAGTGTTCTGAATTTCCAGAGGGCTTTGGGAGGGAGAAGTGGGTAGGGATTGGGGTCTGATCCGACCTCCCCTGATTTCTTGAACTGTGCCAGCATGCACAGGGGACCCGGACTGCAGGGTAATTTCTCATCAGAACCTATCCTACAGTCCATCGTTGCCGGCCTCTCACGGACATTCTGTTGCTGAATAGAGTCTTGCCAGAGAAGGGCTAATTTAGAAATAAAGTGACAAGTGGAGCTTGAAGAATTGACATTTGGGGCATTTGCTATTAAAAACAAAACAAAACAAAACAAAACAAAAAAAAAACTGAGCCTCAAACCTTCTGGCTTAAGGAACAAAGCATCAGAAATGTTTAATGCATAGACATAATATTGTGGATGCTGATTCTAAAGCCCAAGGACCGAGAGCAAAAAATTGGGCTTCGCACACACACCCTTCAGTGTTAGTCTATGACTTCCTGTCTCAGTGTTAATTCACATTTTCCCCCCTCAAAACTGTATTAGTTTACAGCACGTAAGCTTTCCTGAGCACATTGGAGTTGTGCAAACCAAACTTGTGCTAATATCTCAGTTGGTAAAAAAATCCTCTAAATGTGTATTTTAATGAAGTCTGGTCATGGTGAACAGTCCTTCATTCTTGATGAGTAAGCCTCAGCGGCTGAAATGTCTCAGCCGTGGACCTGCCTGTCGTGACATCTGACTTCCATTTGGCTGCTCCCTCAGCATAGTGTGCTCCCACTCTTCTCGTGATAAAGCCAAGAGTTAAAGGAAGGGTCCTCTGTCCTGAGTCTTGAAGATCAGGAGAATGCAGCTGAGAATTTGTTCAAAAGTTTTGATATCAGAGATGAGCAAGTGAGACACAGGCTTCTGATGTACTGTGGATGTGTTTTCTCTGCCAATGTGGTTTCCTTTTATGAACAGTGGATTTCATTGATATGTAAGTGTTGGGATGGATACCTGTCTTCCCACAAAACAGAGTTACAGAGGAAGCTGGATTCTCATGGGCACACTGTTCTTTTTCTTTTGAATATGTGAATTTGTTAACTTCAACAGCCTACTGACAGAGTGGCTGGTGGCACTCAGACTCCCTCACTTCTTAGTGGTAGTTTTGCACAGCAGTCCTTGCTGTGGAAAAACAGCCTCAACAGAGATATTCCGCTCATGTGTTTACTTATTTGGTGTCTGCTTATTTAAAATGGAGACCCCTTGTACTTCGTCTCTCACCAGCTCATTCTCCTCATCAGTATTTATCTTCTATAATATGCTGTAGAGTTACTTATTGATTGCCTGTGGGTCCTGGGCTAGAATGTGCACCATCAGGGAGAGCAGAACATTTTTTTTTCCATTTGTTTACAATATGCACACAGCTTCTAGAGCCCTGCCAGGCACATGAGACGTGTCCGAAAAACCTTGGTTGAGACAGGCATGCTCCTGCACAACTGGAATTCCAGCACTTGCAAGCAGAGGGAGGAGGATAAAAGCATTCAAGGTGATCTTCTGCTCATAATGAGTTCAAAATCAGCTTGATCTGTATGAGGCACTATCTTTTATTATTCATTTTTAAACATTTATTTTTTTTATTAATTACAGTTTATTCACTTTGTATCCCAGCTGTAGCCCCCTCCCTTATCCTCTCCCAATCCCACTGTCCCTCTCTCATCTCCTCCCATGCCCCTTTCCCAGTCCACTGATAGGGGAGGCCCTCTTCCCTTTCCATCTGACCCTAGTCTATCAGGTCTCATCAGAACTGGCTGCATTGTCTTCCTTTGTGGACTGATAAGGCTGTTGCCCCTTTAGGAGTTGGTCACTTACGAGCCAGCCCCTGAGTTCATGTCAGAGACAGTTCCTGTTTCCCTGACTAAGGAACCCACTTAGAGACTGAGCTACCATGGGCTACATCTGTGCAGGGGTTCTAGGTTGTCTCCATGCATAGTTCTTGGTTGGAGTATCAGTCTCAGAAAGGACCCCTGGAGGTACTATCTTAAAACACCCATGATCTTAAAACACCCATAATCACGACAATGGTGATAATGATACAACAAAAACCACATCTTTAGATGAATTAGTAAAAGAAGGACTAAAGTACCTGCTTATTGCATTTATACAGTCTTTACCATGGGCCACAAGACAAGTGTGAACTGGCTCCAGGGACTATAATCAGATCTGAGAAAACCAACCAAATACCCAATAGAATATTATATGAACCTTTTCAGGAACTACTACCCACAGGTGTCTGTGCAAGGGGGAGATGGTAGCTGCACAAAGTCACCTGTTGTATCACTGCTCTTCACAAAACAAAGGTAAAAGGACATAGGAAACCATGTAGAATGTGCAGCTTCCCAACTGGGCTTTGCCATTCACTAGTTGACTCACGCAACTGTCTTAGTTGGAGTTCTTCCCTGTGAGATGGCCAGAAAGGTGAGTGTATTTGATATTCTCACGACAGAGCCCTTAGACGAGGGGAAGTGACTCTTACCGCAGCACAGTGTGAAAGGAGCTAGTGGCTTAGCCATCTAGGACGTGAGGTGTGGGCTCTGAGAGGAGGAGAGGCTAGTAGAGCTCTAGGCGACCAGCTTTCAGGACCAGGAACAGGTCAGAACAGAATCTCAGGCAAAAGGATGGCAATGTGCTCACATCTCTTAATCAATTGCAGTGGAAATATTGAGGGCAGGCCCCTCTGGGTGAATGTCTTTAAGCTGACCTCGTTTCCCTAGCTTCCTCTTCTCCAGTGGTGATCTGTAAATTCTGATTTTTACATTGTTGAAATAAAGCGTTGGAACAGATGGGGACATCCAATCTCAGTGAAGAAACAGTTTCAAATAAACATTTATTCAGTGGATAAGAACTTGGCATTGTTTGTATTTGTATTATTTGTGTATTTTACATGTACTTAAGAATCTGTTCATTTGGTTATTTTGGTTATTTTATGATTATAGGTCCATTATTTAAATTTGAAGATTTTTGTTTGTTTCTTTGTTTTGTTTTGTTTTAGTCTCACATAGCTCTGGCTGTCCTGGGACTCACTATGTAGACCAAGCCAGCCTTGAACTAAGAGAGATCCACCTGCCATTGCTCCCAAGTGCTGAGATTAAAGGTGTGCGCAAATATGCTTAGGTATTTTACTTTTAAATTATGTGAATCTTTCTGTAGATATGTACATATGAGGCCTGAGAGGGTATCCGGTCTTCTGGAGTTGATAATACAGGTTCTCTGGAAGAGCAATATTGATTTTTAATGACTGAGACAAATTTCCAATCCCCATTGTTTCTTGAAAGAGCATTTTGTTATAGATATTTAAAAAAAATAAAAAGATAATGGATAGATAATGTTTACCATTTTAAAATTTATTTTTTTCTTAAAAAATTTAATATTAATTACAGTTTATTTACTTTGTATCCCAGCTGTAGCCTCTCCCTCATTCCCTCTGATAATGTTTATCTTTATGATAGTTAAGGTTCTACTACTCTTGAATAATTGTTTATCGGAAGTCTAATTTTATGTTTAAAGCCACTCATTTTATTACTTTTGAGTTTTTATTTATTGCATAAGCATTATTATAAGAACAAGGAAACCTTTTGAATGCAATGAAATTCCATTTTCATGATTCACGTGCTTGTTTCCAATACACGTATTTTGGTTGTTAATGTCATAGACTTTCCTTTTCTCATTAAGCATCGAAGCCTAACATTTAAAAAGTTAACGTATGCTCTTCCTATCCAATGGTTTTATTGCATAATAGCTTATCATTGGATGCACATAACTTATTTGACTATTTCCTTGGTGCATGCATGCACATTTTTTGCATTTGTGGTATATGTATGTGTTTCTGTTTATTTGGTGTGTGTGTGTATGTGTGTATGTGTGTGTGCACATGTATCAGAAATTGACATTAGTGTCTTTTTAGTGCTCCACACCTTAGGTTTTGAGACAGGGTCTCACACCTGGAGCTCATTGATTCAGCAAGACTAGTTGGCTGACAAACTCCAGGGATTCTCCTATTCTTAACCTGTGTTAAGATTACAAGTGTAAGCCACTATGCCTACCTTTTTTTTTCTTTTCTTTATTTTTTTTTAAAATTTAATCACTTTGCAGCCCAATCTTTTCCTTCCTCTCCTCCCGTTCCACCCTCATGCCTTCTCCCCCCATTCCCCTTTTCTTTCTTCTCAGAGAAGGGGAGGCCCCTCAAGGGATACCAACCCTTCCTGGCATATCAAGTTGCAGCAGGACTAAGCCATCCTCTCCCGCTGAGGTCTGACAAGTCAGCCCAGCTAGGGGAAGGAGATCCCCGAGGCAAGCTACAGAGTCAGAGACAGCCCTTCCTCCAATTGTTAGGGGACCAATATGTTGACCAAACTGCACGTCTGCTACATACGTGTAGGGGGTCTAGGTCCAGCCCATGCTTACTCTTTGGTTGTTGGTTCAGTCTCTGTGAGCCTCCCTGGGCCCAGATTAGTTGAATCTGTAGGTCTTCTTGTGGTGTCCTTGACCCCTTTGGCTCTCTCTGTCCTTCCTCCCACTCTTCCACAAAACTTCCCCAGCAACCTATTGTTTGACTGTGGGTCTCTGTATCTGTTTTCATCATCTGCTGGGTGCAGCCTCTCAGAAGAGTTCTGCTAGATTCCTGTCCACAAGCATAGTGTCATTAATAGTGTCAAGGGTTGGCTCTCCCCAATGGGGTAGGTCTCAAGTTAGGCCAGTCATTGATTCACCAATCTCAGTTTCCTCAATCTCTGCTTCATCTTTATCCCTAGAGGTATTGCAAGACAAATTTTGGGTGAAAGGTTCTATGGGTGGGTTGGTGTCTCCCTTTCCATTGGGAGTCCCACCTGGCTACAGGAGGTGGTCACTTCAGGCTCCGTATCTCCCACTGCTAGGAGTCTCAGCTAGGATCACTCTCATAGACTCCTGGGAGCCTCTCCTGTACCAGAGATGCCCTCTCCCATTTCTGTTCTTTTCCCTGGTCTTCCCACCTCGCTCTCCCCACACCTCGTCCCTACC